TTATGAAGGAAAGACTGCAGGCATGGATAGAGGATGAGGGGGTGCTGGGGGAACTACAGAATGGGTTTCGGAAACACAGGAGGTTGGAAGACAATCTGTTCTCACTGACGCCGTGCATCGAAATAGCAGAAAAGAAACACAGCCCCTGTGACTAGCATTTTTGGATATCAAGGGAGCGTACGATAGCGTTGTTCAAGAGGAATTGTGGGGAATACTGGACACACTAGGCATGGAAGATGTAGTCACTAATCTTTTAAAGGATATCTATAAAGGTAACACGGTAATTATAAAGTGGGAAAAGCAGGTATCCAATCCTCTACTTTAAAACGGGGGGCTTAGGCAGGGGTGTTCCTGTCACCCTTATTATTCATGATGTACCTACAAGGATTAGAGGCGAAATTAGAGGGAAGTGGACTGGGCTTCAACCTCTCTTTCGTCAAACAAGGAAAACTCATTGAGCAGGCACTACCAGCATTGATGTTCGCAGATGATATAGTGCTAATTACCGACAACAAGGAAGATTTGATGAGATTGGTGGACATCTGCGGTAATGAGGGAGATAGATTAGATTTCAGATTCAGTAAAAAAATCAGCAGTCATGATTTTTAATGACAATGAAGGTAGTAAGCTTAGAATACAGGAGATCACGCTAGAGATAATATATAAATACAAATATCTGGGCGTATAGATAAGCAATTGGGCCGAGTACCTAAGGGAACACGAAACATACGTGACGACTAAAGGTAACAAAAATGCAGCTGTAATGAAAACCAGGGCACTGTGGAATTACAATAGGTATGATGTTGTGAGAGAAATATGGAAAGGGGTCATGGTTCTTGGGCTGACGTTCGGCAATGCGGTCTTGTGCATGAGATCGGAAGTTCAAACAGGATTAGAAATTAAGCAACGTGGAATAGGTAGGCTTGCCTTAAGAGCTCATGGCAATACACCAAATAAGGCACGCCTGAAATGAGGCACGCCTGAAATGACGGGGCGTAAAGACGAAGAAAGATTATTTGCGTAAACAAACTGCTGGTGGTTAGTTAAAAAGTCGCAAATCCAATTGAAAACTAAGGGGTCAAGGTTGAGACAAGAAAGTTTTAAGAACAAGCGTTTATGAGGAACTTTGTCAAAAGCTTTTTCGAAGTCTAAAAAGAGCGCGTCTACTGGTATATATACATCAATGCTAGAGCTAATGTCATTAGTAAACAGAGCTAGTTGAGTGTCACACCGGTGTCGGAAATGGATGAATTTAGCCAAGTTTCGGTTAGAACTATAAAATTGCAGTCAGTGGTATCTGTTATGTGTGAAATTGAGTCGCGTTTGGGCAGGATACTTCTTATGTTCGTATGTACGAAAGACAGAGCTGTGCGTGGAAATTCTCGCTGAGAACAGTCATGTGATTGCTACCGTGGCTGTAGAATGACCTTCTGCTCAGTAGAATGAAAAAGGTAAGTAGTGTTATCGAGTATAAGTTTATCATAACGGAGCTTGAAAGGCTTGCGTTGAGTTCTACCAAATTCGACTAGCTTTTTGCGGGAAAGGCGAGTAGCTGGTGAGAAATCTGCTGTAATCTTGTAGTTGGTGCCCTTGAGTCGCGCGCTTCTTGATAATACGCCCTCCTTATCTTTGAAATGGGAAAATCGGACAATAATGAGTCGATTGTTATTAGGTCGAAAGCGGCCTATTCTGTGAGCGCGTTCTATGTCTCTTGGTTGCAGAGAACTTTGAAGGCTCGCGCTGCAGAAATCGATTATTAACTTCTCCGATTGCTCCCATGTTTCATGCTCATTGTTTTTTAGCCCAAAAAACACTAGATTTGAGCGTCTAGCCCTATCTTCGGGGTCGTCTAGTCTGGTAGCCAAACTTGCAAACAGCTTGGTGCTCTGCTCTGCCATGCCTCGAACTTCATGGATTTGTTCTTTGACTAAGGCGATTGAAGAACAAACGCCCTCTATTTCCCCTAGTCTTTTCTTTATATCGTCGAGAGCTTTGTCATTGTCTGATAATTTTAAGTGGATTGATTTCATTTCATCTAAGAGTGTTGCTTGTCCGCTCTGAATTGCGCTCAGCACTGACATTATGTCATCAGATGGCTGTGATGAAGTGGATCGAGTGGGACCGGGGTTTTCCTCAATATCACCTGCTAGAAGCATGGGGTTAAGAATAACCTGAGTACACTCACAAATCATGGCAATGCAACACCGTGGGCTTGGCAGCACGACGAATGCCATGTATCGGGTACGGCGGGTGAAGAGGGAATATGAACATGTTACCTGCACGGAAGGCAAGCGGATCGCGTGAGCGTGAGGCGTTGCTGACATGCTGCCAAGCCCACTGGAAGCAGGTGACGTTTTGTCAGGCCTTATATAGTGCATATAGCGACCGATGGTCGCGCATGGTCGCTAGCGATCCCAAAATAACTGCGACTTCCAACAGTCGTTAATAATTACAGAATGAATATTGTGCTGAAATATTTCAGATTTGGTATGTCTGATGCCCATTAAATCAGGGAAAATTGAAACCGGGTAGTTTCAATTTTCGTTTCACGACCGCTTTAATGCATTTTTAAGAAAAGATAGAATCAAAAGGCTTCTCAGATGCGCCTTTCAGAGACCTAAAGACTCGTTAGGCGCGGTGCTTTCTTTCTAAACAGCACAACACAGCAATGGCAGAATTGAAATAAACTTACCCAGACAGGCATGGCTCACTTGGCTGTGCCCGCAGTAAGAACATGAGGCAACCTGATGTGGCGTGCCTGAATCTCTCAACTGGCGGCTGTTTGCGAGCAGTTTAATGTAACCGTGGCACCTAAGCGTACCATTATGGCTGCTGCGCCTCTTTCATGTTCGTAGAGGTGAACATCCTGCGCAATTGGCACCGCCGAAACGCAGAGGAACACCAAGGCGAACTATCGTGGTATCGGGGTCTCGGTGGAAACAAAGAAACGAAAGCTGCGGCGCAGGCCAAGTCAACAGCGGCAGAAAGGGAAGAATACTGAGGAAGAGGCGAGAGTTTCTCGCCTCTCCCCGTGACGCCCTTTCAATTTTTTCTGCCACAAAGTAAGCGTTGCGTTCACTCCAGGCCAAAAAACACCGGCCTCCATATAAGCGTTGCAATCACTCGCGGCCGCATATGGTGAGCACAGTCCGCCATCGCTGAAATGGTCACGCCTAATGGCTATCAAAGTGCCGCTTGTATGCAGTCTTTTGTGGAAAAAAAAATGGGCCATTTATGTGCCTGGTGTTATATAGGACTTGAATAAGAGTGTAGGTGCTGTTCACGACTCTGGCAGATATGATTGCCCAAATCAGTTTTATAGGAAAGCTGAAGCACTGAATGTGATATTGACAAATAGCAATGTATACGAAGTGAGGCTGGCAGTCAACACATTTCGATCCGATTCCACGTAACTCTATAAAACACTGGCGTAGGTGAACATAGCCGCTCCAAGAATTTAGGCCCTGTTTTCGTTATTTTTTTATGACGAAGTTCTTAGAAGCTCAACAAGCGTGCTGTGGCGACACAAGCGTCCGCTGATCGTTGTCGCGATAGCGCGGCAATCATAAGCACCCCCCCCCCCCCCCTTGTTCGCTAAAGATATAAGCGCGCGCGCAGGTAACCCCGGCCGGAAAGGCGATGTTCGCTCCGCAAAAAGACGTGGCTAGCGCATCGTTCCCCGTAATATATACATACATATACGTATAAGACGGTGGCGGTGGTGGTGACGACGACGATGGCCAGAACCAGCCGAGATTGTTCATATAACTGCACTCACAATAAAAATGGCATTCTTATACATTTGATACACTTATTGAGTAGTTAATGACTAGCAATATTAAAATAGAGGTGTGAGAAGTTTATCACAATTCTTGTTTGTGAGAAATATGCCTGATCGCCAAGTTATGTCACGACACGTGACCAAACTGCTGACGCAACGTACTCACGCAAGTTAATCGAACATTATTAGGCTCATAGTAAACAATATTTATTGTCCACCACAGGCACACACCAAATTAATTCGAAGTGATGCTTTGGGTCCTTGCAATTTTTCAGGCGTCACAAAAATTTCTGCCCACTTACGTGCATATGAAGCGACCATACCTAGGTCAGAGGAGGTTATTTGTTAACATAATGCATAGGTTTTGTGCCAGGCCAGACCAACTACGGTTGTCTTTCGTGAAGTCAGAGTTAAAACAATAGTAAAGGAATGACCAGAATTAACGAGTTACCTTCATATGTTGTTAAACTGATCTACAGCATTGGTATCACTATACAGATACTACCCCTTCCTAATAATTATGCTTTCCGTTGCGATTTCCTCCTTTAAATTCGTGAAAAGGAGATATTTTAGAGATGTTTGGTTTCTTTGCTGACTTGTATTTGAGGAATACTTTCACCATGGCTATGAATGCTTTACGAAACGGCGAAAAGAGACCAAGAGAGGACAATACGACTATTGGCAAATATTTCGTGAATTCATACGGTGTGTAAAACCAGTAGCACATGTAAACTATTGCAGTGGCAGCGCGAGGATAGCACCACCGTTATCCAACAGCAGTTGGCGCTAAAGTTGAAATACTTGTACCTTAATAAAAAAAAATCACTTGATTTGATGCTACAATAAAGTTTATCAAGACAAAATATGTAAAAAAGATAGAACGGCGTGAAACACTACCCTCTTTTTGAAATCACGTATACGGATCTGATGAGGCATTGTTTGATTTCTGTGGACCGCGACGACTTTCTATCAAACGATCTGCTTTGTATTACGCATTAAAATGCCGAGGACAACAACAGATACTTCATCCTGGGCAAGCGTATCACACAACTTTTAATTCTATTGTGGCGCTCCTGTCCTTGCTGCGGAAGTTGTATTGAACCTTTATCTGTTCATATTTCTACCACTTTTCTGTGTTGCCACACTTCTACTACCTTTCTGCATTGCAAGACCCATGTGCACATAAGTATGGCATGGTAATAAGCAGCATTTCAATGAATTGGAACAATGGTATAAATTTAATTTATTTTGAAATATACTATGTTGTAACTCATGTCTGCTACTTGGACACTTGGTCTTGGTGGGTGGCGAGTTCCGGGTCACCCCTGCCGTTCATCTGGTGATCATGCTTCTTCGTCTGCGGTGTCCCCCAGATGACCTTGTCCAGGCGGCCCAAGGGCGCCTCGCATGCAAGGAACAGAACCAGCGCGAACATGCAGCTCCACGCGTAGACCGACATGCTCTCCATGAACTGTTGAGAGGGTGACATGGGAGACAAAAATGCGCTTTTAGTGTTATGCATACGGTACCTGAGATTTGTGTATATATATATATATATATATATATATATATATATATATATATATATATATATATATATATATATATACATATATATATATATCTATAAATATATATACCAAAAACAAAAGTGATGCTGGGTCCGGGAAATATTATTCGTATAGGAAAGAAGACGCACGTACGAAGTTATTTTATTTGACGTTTCGGCCGTGGGTCCGGCCTTCATCAGAATCCGACATGCTCTCCATGAACTCCGTTTCGGCCGTGGGTCCGACCTTCTGATGAAGGCCGGAACCACGGCCGAAACGTCAAATAAAATAACTTCGTACGTGTGTCTTCTTTTCTATAAATATATATATATATATATATATATATATATATATATATATATATATATATATATTTATATATATATAGTTACACAAGGCAAGGTAACTTATTTGGGGTTTTTAATGAGCCCTGAGTCCGCGATCACAGTATAATGATGATGGTCTCCACTGCCATGGCTCGTACCCACTCAGAGGGATCGGAGTTGAGGCAACGTCGTCTTCATCTCTACCCACGCTTCCCTTGTTTTTCCTGGTAGTGATACTTCTTATCAGTATGTATATAAACACACTCTGATATCGCAATCGCTTTCTTTCAATTATGTAGTCAAATACCGCAGAGCAGTTGTCCGTGTGGATATAACGAAATTCAATGCTGCCAAATGCCAAACGATAAATTTATTGCCACATTTATTTCTAATCCTAATTTTTCCACTGGAGCTACGAGGTATATTTACCGCTGATAAGAATATAGGCGACAGAATAAAAAGCATTGATCTATCGTTTGCATTTCATCACAAACCTGACATATAGGTGACGCCTTTAGACCAACTTTATGCAAATAATAAGTTAGTTGCGGAATATCCAACGCAATCTGGTATAAGAAACTTCCGATTGCCGCGTTGCGCACCACTGTCTATTCCAGCAGCACCTTAGATGTGCGAAATCTTAAAATATATCTAATAAGTAGGAGTTCAATTCATGCAACCAGAGGTTTCTAAACCTTATTGCTGTCGCGTAAGCCATATCTGGCAAAATCGGGATAAAGGGGCCGCTAAAAATACTGTGGCTAGTGCATCCGCCATCTCATTGAGATATATACCACGATGGCCTGGTAGCTATAACAGCTGCAGTTTTTGCAAGTTTGTTGGTATGAGTTGTCGAAACATGTGCATAAGTGTTAAGTTGGCTCCCGAAGACAGAGTAGCACATACTAAAAAAGAATCTGCAATTACGACTGCTTCTGATTCGCCCTAAGAAACTTTCTGTGGTGCCAATAATGTAGAATAGAATTCTGCTATGAATATTGCTGTGTAAACTGGAAGTCCAACCGAAAAAAAATATTCAAGGGAACGTGAGAACATACCTGCCCTAGCCTTTTCATTTGATACGGACACATCAGTCGCATTTATGTTGTTCATGTTCACGTGTGCGAAATAATCCTGAAACTGATCATTTAAGTATTGAAATATCATTTGCTTTGCTTTAGGGGGATAAATATTCTTAAATTCTATCTGAAGATCTGAATTAAAATTACATGCTGAAAAAATATATTTGATTTTCATGTTCAGTGGTTCTAGCCGCGCTTGAATGAACATGATCTGTGGGTAGTGAAATCGTAACCACCGAGTTTCAAAAAATAGCTTGGCTCCTAATTAAAAGCATAACACGATTCTCTCTGGGGCAAAGTGTACGTGTAGTAAGCCAGTATTCACTCTGCTATTCTTCGGAGAAGCGTCGTATGCGCTACACACTTGTTGAAAATTTTGTGCAACTTTTGCAACAATTTTGTGCTGACAATGATGAAGAATTATGCGTGAAGTGGGTATGCACCACAGTTATTAGGTGATCAAGAACAAGTTTTCTAGTAGGTTGGAGCATTAAAGACCCAGTTGCTACGCAATTCGCATTGTGACGCCTGGCTGTTCTTTTGATATTCTAAAACGCTTTATTAGCCATAGCAACTCGATTCCTTTCCCGACATCAAGCCTGGCTAAGGCAAGTTTAGAAATGAATTATAAGCACTGGCGTGGCTCAGTAGTAAAATACTAGCCTGGCACGCAGCTGACCCGGGTTCGAATTTTATTGCGGCATTGGTGTTTTTATTTACCGAGTCTTTTTCGATCGATACTGGTTACGGGCGGCGGGGGTGGCAGACAACTACGGCACCACGCGTGTGCCTTGTTTTATTTCTTAACAGTTTTCACTGTCAAAAAAACTCGGCGGAGAAATTGCGACACGCATGTACAAGTGAAGTGCTTTATTGTTAACAGAACCGGTACACAGCAAGTCATATATATGTCCTGAGTGTACATGTTGCATGTATTGGAACAGTGCGATCGTTCGCATATTTTCAAGAAAACAGGATACAGCGCACGATGCAGGAGGATACTAAAGATGGACCAGGCCATGACGAAATACAAAATCTTTATTACGTACCTACACAGATCGTAAAAGCATGCAAGAAATAGGAAAACACTTGCAGTCTGTGTTAATATTTATATGTAATCGTATCATAAATGATAAAAGCTATCACTCGCGTGAGAAATAGAAACGTTTTTGTCAGGATTGATGGCACACACATATAACCTCTTTAGTCAAGGCAATGGGCTTTGTATATTTAAATATATTGTTAATCACTGTGACGCCCTATTATTCTGCATTGCCAGCGACATTCGCTGCCAGCCATAAAACATATATATTCCAGCTGCATACGGTGCTGTGCACGGCTAGGTGGCTTCCAACAGAACCCTTCATTCGGTTGTGGTGCTCTTTGAGGTGGTCATACGAAAACACGCAAGCTTGAGCAATCTGGCAATGACTACATCAGAAAGAAAATGGCTACGCCGCCTTATGACAGCATTCGACGAAGTGTCTCGCGTGTTTCTTATCCCACATGCGAGGCCCTGTGTCTTTTCTGGTCACTCTTTTACACCTACATGAAAACCTATTGTTTGCTGAAAAGATATCTTTGATGCCCCTCTTTCTTGCCCTGCATTTTTTATAAAACGTGACACCCAATACGCTTGCGGTGTGACCGCTGGTCTTGAAAGTGGACTCTTTCCGCGTTCTGTCTAACGCGTTAGTCTGGCGGTTTCAAGTCTGCTAACAGACATGCGGCTTTACAATGCACCTACTTGTGAGGGTCTCCTACCACACGAGCTGTGAACATAGGAGACTTGCAGTATCAACATAATCTAAATTTTTTGTTGGCCGTCCAGGAAGTGGGACACTGTTTTGCAAGGATACGGGAAACAGGGCGAAGCATGGGGAAATGACGTAGACCGACCAAGTGCTAACCGTCGACTAAAGCTTTATTCTATATCGTTTATTTATATATTTAATTATTTTCAATACTGGCGGTCTCATACGGGACCAAAGCAGAAGGGTATCAGTTCTTGTATAGACAATACAGTCTTCAGTTTCACATTTGTACAGCGGCATATTTGTAGAACGTCTAAGAGGACGCAGTGGCTGGATGCAGAAATGCCTGAAGGGGACTCGAGGCCTTTACAAAATTAAATAGGTACATTTTGAAAAAATGGCATTATTGCGTAAAATGACTGAACAATTAGTACATACTTAAAGACGGCATACAAGACATTTCTTATCTAATAGACAATACAACACTAGTTGTAAACAAACACAAGAGCACTGGGAACAATACACCAGAAAAGTACACACTTAGGTAACTTATAACCAGTTACTGCACCAAGCAAAACAAATTCGTTTACGCGCAATTTAACGCGAAAATTTTTTCCACAAAAAACCGCTAAAAAACCATAATACGGCTCATCAAAAGAGAAAAAGATAACTGGAAAATTATTCACAGAACATGTCCTCGATTTTTGAGGTGAACTCCGACAATGATTGTATACTGGTAATGGAGTAATCTAGACTATTACATTCTCTTATTGACAGGAGAAAGAATAATTGCTTGAATCAATCGTTGTTAAAGGTGCATTCTGTAATGGTAAACGCATGTTTGTGTTTTAGTTCTCTGGGTTTCGCTAGGGAGATGCATTTTGATGCATCGATGCTGCTGTGGTTATGAAGCAGGCTGTGTATAAATTTTAATCGTGCCAGTTTTGTTCTTGTCTCTAGTGTGGGAAGACTGCAAGATTCTAAAAGGTTTGTGGGTGAGTTGGTGCGTGTATACTTGTCGTAGATAAACCTTACGGCCTTCCTTTGTACCCGTTCTAACCTTGCGATATGAGTGGCATATTGAGGGAACCAAACAGTGTTGGCGTACTCGAAAATTGGACGAATGAATGTTGTGTTGGTCAAGAGCCTAGTTTGTGTCGGTGCAAGTGAGAGACGCGTTCTTAAGAAAAACAGCTTGCGCTAAGCGGTGGCTGTGACGTTATTTATGTGCGCTTACCATCTCAGATCGAAAGTTAATGTGACACCGAGAAACTTGTGCAGCTGACTCTTTGTAAAGGTGTGTTGTTTATTGTGTAAGTAAACTCAGAGAGTGCCTTTTTTCTGGTCACCGTCATACAGACAGTTTTTGTTAAATATATTGACATTTGTCATTCTTCACACCAGGGAGCAATTTTTTCCAATGAACTATTTAGAGCCTTGTGGTCATCGCTGTCTTTAATTTTGCTGTAAATAACGCAGTCGTCAGCGAAAAGCTTAATTTTGCCGCCTATGTCGGCTGCTGTCCTTTATATCTTTAAGAAATAATAATAGCCCAAGGATGGAGCCACGGGGCACAACTGACTTTACAGAAGCCGTCCCTGATAATGCGACTTCGTAAACCACAAACTGTTGGCGGTCGCCACTGATATCGTTTACCCAATTCGTAATCCCTCCACCTGCAATTATGTTTTCCAGTTTTGAAATCAGTTTGTTATGTCTGACGCAATCAAACGCTTTCGATAAATCAAGCAGTATTATA